CAATCCGGCTACTGATAGGGAAGTAATTTGCCAACCCTTCATCCATTTTTCAAGCGATCAGCTATGCTTTCACAATTGGCAGCACTAATTTGTCTTCTCACTGTTAATTTCACAATTGCTTTCACTATTTAAACTTATCTACTTAAATATATGCTTCTAGGATCACTCCTGGTCTGATTTGTACAAATATTGAAGTCAATATCATTGTTCAATTTCATCCCTGATAATTCTATACTTCTGTTTTATTTATTTTTTCATTTTTCACGTATCATTGATTTCACTAGAGATATTCCAATTTTAGACTGGCATTGGTTTGTGCTATAAGCATATAAGTATCCATATAGTTCCATTGATATTTTCATCTGGTAGCTCTGAAATTTGAATGAGCATCAATCTCCCTAATATGATTACTTGATGCTCTGAAATATCTTAACAACTAGGAAACTTGGTATCAGTTTTACAGTTCTCTTTGAACTACTAGTTTCATATTCACATGATAATGCAGGATGAAGATGATGATGACATTGAAGAAATTTCAAATGCTTCAGAGGTATTTCCCTAACCTTACACATGCCTCTATTCACATGGATGCATGTACCTACACAATCTTATAGTTTCATAAAAGGCATGGGGCTAATCTATATACTTTTTGTGCTTATAATATTTGTTTTGTTTAGGATAATGGAAGTGATGATGAGTGGACTGCTTGACCCTAATCTAAGTTGTGGTTGCTAGGCACAAGAAATGACAAGGCAATGTCATGCAAGTGATGTGATGATACCCTTTATTTCTGTCACTAAGAACGTGACAACTTGGATTTGCTTACCATGTGGTTTTGATGGAATTATGAGAATAGGTATAATACCAATATCATGAGGTTAAGAGGAAGAGAGAATATAATATGTTTAATGTATACTGTTGAAAGTGATGTCATTTAACTCTTTATCTCATTTGGGAGTCATTTGATGTATTCTAATCAATTTTAAAGTGATGTCATTAGTAGAATTTGACAGATTAATTTATTTCTGAAGTATAAATTAGTTAAAGTTGTTTCTACTCAAAATTAGTCTAGGAATTTCTAAATTGACTCTAGGCATTAACTATTTATGTAAATTCACATAATTGACATTTTAACGTGATTAGTGAGAATCTATGTAAAATCAAAGTCACATGTTTTATTGACTTTTGAAAGGAACTAGATGGGAGTAATAAAAAAAAAATGAGTGAACCAGGTTGATTCTCTTTTCTTGGCTTGAATTGAGTCAAAATATAATTTTAGAATTGATGACAGACCTCAGTTTGTACACAATTTTCTCACTTCATAACCCTTGTTTCTTTTTTCCTGTTTTGTTTTTTTTTTAATTTTTTAATTTTATTATTTTTATCAAGAATCAGTTCCGAATACTTTATACTTTTTGAAAAATTATGAGTAAAAGTTTGTTAAAATGCGAATATATTTTTAAAAAGTTATTAACACACATGCTGGTATTACATATCTGTTTACTAACGTAATGTTCATTAAAAAATTGAATTTATCATGGTGCTAAGCTCTGTTTTTTGCCCGAATCATTGAAGAGTTATCTATAATTGTCCACAAAGTTAAAAATTTGAAAAGAAAAGAGATGGACTCTTTTATTCAACTGTCATTTTCAGAGCTTCATACAATAGTTTAATAATATGATCGTTTCCTCACTAAGCCAAAGTTTAATAATAGATCTTTTGATGCAAAAAGGGAAAAATAAAATAAAATAAACAGTGTCTTACCTAAACCAGAAACCCACCAATTATTAGCAGTGTTCTTATACGGCACAACACAATAAATTATTCTCAATTAGGGAAAGGATTCAGAAGTCAAGTTTGTCTGCATAGTTCATCTTCAAAAAAAGGTGTTGCATCGTGGTTCATGGCCACGTCTTTTAGTCAAATAAAAACAAAACTTCATAACGTTTATTTGAGTCAAATTAAACTTGCTAAAAACTAAAGTAGTTGGAACTCAACAATCCATGAATTTTCCTATTCTTCTATCATCCATAGTAAAGGAATTAAGTCAGTTTGGTCACATTCTGATCATTCCAGATTATCAATAATATATATTTAATTCCTTTAAAATAACAAATTCTGCAAAATGTTAAAGTATTATTTTTTTAAAATTTGTTTTTTGCAAATCTGTCATATTGAAAGGAGGATTTCAATAAAAATTAATTATTGACTAGATTGGTTAATACTTTTTACAATAAAGTATTTTTCCACTAATTTTCCTTTAAAAGTTTTATAGGTTTATGGAAAATTTAAGGATTTCATGAAATCAGGATGTTTCTTTCCATGGAAGATGCTAGTTGTGATAAACCAAAACTCAGTCCAGCACGAGAAATTTTAACAATTTTAGAAAATAAAATTACATAATATTTAAATTACTTATAATTTTTTTTAAATAATTTGTTTCGATAGAATAATAAAAATATCTTATATTTAAATTTTTTTGTCAACTTAACTTCACCTTTATACAAGTCAACTTGAATAAACCTTCCGTAGCCAACTTGGCTCAACCTTCAACGCAAACCAATTTGGCTCAACTTTCAGTGCGAATTAACTTGGCTCAACCTTTAATGCGAACCAACTTGGCTACACCTTCAATTCAAACCAACTCAACTAGATCTCAGCATAAGCTAACCGAACTCGGACTTCAACACAAGTAAACTCGACTCGATCTTCAACTTGGGCCTACTCAGCTTGACCTTCGGCTCAAGTCGAATCGGCTCACCATCAACCAAGTCAACTTGCTCGACTTTGATTCGATTGACTTAGTTTGACTTCGGCCCAGCAAGCACGGCTCGATGTTGAACTTTTGGCAAGCGTACCAATAGTTAACTGTAGTATAATGATTTTTAAGTAAGAGTGTCGATCCCACGAGGAACAACTTCAATTAAATAGATAAATTTATCTAAAACAACATATATACAAGGGTATTCAAACTGATTCATAATGGATTTTGATAATTTATACTACGTTGCGTAAAAGTAAAATATTAACAACATATAAGTTAAAGAAAGTTTAATATGAGAAGTTGGGATTGAATTCATCTATCTCACTCGTCTGCAATCTGAATGAATATAAACATATAGCAACTGAAATTACCAATATTGATGCAACACACAAAAGTCATTTATACCGATTCCTCGCGTATAAAATTCATAAGATAAGTTCCTTGAATATTGATTCCTCACATATCCAACAAACTGTCCAACATTATATTCAAGTGTTATAAGCAATTGATAAACTGAAATCTATCCCTAGCATCACAGGATATCAAGTATTCTTGTTCAGATCAGATTTTAGAAATACTTTCCAGTCAAAACTAAAACCCACATTCATGAAACTATTGATCAGATAGAATCAAACACTAAGAGCAGAACAAAAATACCAATATTGAATAAAACATAAATGCTATATATAAATATCACCAGATTACATCCGAGTTCGAATCAATTACATTCAATCCCAAGAGAAAAGATCAACCACTCATTGTAGCCATTAGCATTCTAAGAGATGAAGAAGAAGATCCCACAGCTAAAGTGAAGAAAAACTCTTTGGGTAACTTCTTTCTCAGCAACTCTCCGTCTCCCCCTTTCTTTCTGACTCGTGAGTATATATATTGCGCGAATTATCGCTTAAGCGAGAAGAAAATTCTTGGAGAAGATAGTCATTTTCGCTTAAGCTAAATTATTTTCGCTTAAGCGAGAATGACTTTTAAATCAATGGCTTCCTGGATGAATCTAGCTTAAGCGATATCATTTTAGCTTGGGCGAATTGTTGCAGGATTTGCTCTTCTCTATTTTTTCTTCTCTCTTAATTTACCTGGAACATATACAAAATAGGGACCAAATGTTTTCCTTTTAATCAACAACTCGGAAACATATGATTACATTTCATCTTTCTTAGATTGGGGAAAATTGATACAAATGTACACAATTTAATACAGAAGTACCAAAATTCCATATGAAAATTTACTACTTTTTTGCACTTATCACTCGACCTTTGGCCTGAGCTGGCTTACTCAACCTTGTGCCTCAACTTGATCATCGGTCTATGCTGACATGACTCAAATTTAGTTTGGACTACTCAACTTAATTTTTGACCTGGTGAGCCACTTCACCTTCGACTTGGGTCCAGCAGCTTGAGCTTTGACCTGAGTCAACTTGCTCAACCTTCAATTCAACTTGACTCAACTTTCAAATTGAATTGACTTAGTCCACCTTCAGCTTAAGCTGACTTTACTCAACTTTCAAAACTCGAGTCAACTTTATTCAACTTTGGCCTAAGTCGACTTCGACCGATTTCTATCCGGATTAACTCTGTTCAACTTCGACTCGGATTGACTCTACTTGACTTTGATCTGGATCGACTCTGCTCGACATTCTACCCAAATTGTCTCAACTATCCTTTAATCCGAATTGATTCAACTTGACCTTTAGCCTATATCGACCCCTCCTTTCTTGAATTTTTAAACCTTTCCTAAATTGTGATCTACCATAAACCCGAGTCAACTCGTCTTTCGTTCCAAACCAACTTAGCTTGATCATTGTAAAAAAAAAAGTGATAATAGGGTGAAAAAGATTCAAAAAAAAAATTTCAAATTTCTTATACTTTTGAAAATATGTGAAATTTCTCTATTTTATTTATTTAAAATACTTTGTAAAATTCTTTAAATTTGAATTCCTTTCTAATTCGTTTATCTAAACAAGTTATTTTAATATAAAGAAAAAGTTATTTTAGTATAAAAAAATTTAAATTCTTTAAATAAATAAATTATCCTTTTAAATTACTTCATCCAAACACAACATAAAAGTTATTAGAACACAACATAAAAGTTATTAGTTGAAAGTAAAGAACTCATCAAGTGGAAAGACCACTCAGCACTTAAAAAGAGAGTAAAGTTATCCCCGTATCACCAAATGTTAAGACTTTTAGAGTCTTTGCTGCATAGGCACTTGTAACCACATTTGTGAGCAGTTTTCTGCCACATTAAAGACCGCAATGACATGCAACTGCAACAGCAATTTAAAACTTTGGTGGTACACATAAATTCATGGCATGGAGAGGAAGCATATTTGAAATGGACATGTTTTGGGAGCGCCATATAAAACAAATACAATCTGAACATATACTCTTTCTTTCTGACATTTAAATACACACTAATTTTCCTTCTACTGTTGTTTTGATCAACTGTATGGCTGCAAAAGTTTAAAAACACAAACTGCAGTGATGTTTCACAGATTTACAAGCCAGACACTTTTCACAAGATACCAACCATGTCCAATTCAAACAAGACCTTAACTCCCTAAGAAAGTATCAACCTTCACATTTGTTGCTCTGGACAAGAACTTCATACAAATTGGTGGCTTAACTCCTGCAAGAGCAAGTATTGAAGCAGGAAGAGTCCATATTCCATCCCCACATATCAAACCAGAAGCTACAGCTGGTGCAAAAGCATCTGCCTTAGCCTTGTTAATCCTCTCCCACACATACAATATCAGACTTCCAACACACATGTCAATGGCAAAGTATGGCCCTATGTAGAAGGGTATTGCCATGGCCATTGGAAGTGGAACAAACTTCCCTTTCTTGCCAAGAAAATCTTTGAACAAGTTTATGATAACTGCTGCAGCAAAGAATATGTAACAAAGCAAGAGGCAGTTTTTTGGCAGAAAGCCAAAACCTTGCACCCCCAATATGGCCATATTACGGTATATGATTGCATATGGGGCAGGATATTCACTTGTAGACTTCCCAAGGTCAGGAAAAGCTTTGTAGAAAATCCAAAACACAGAAGGAGAAATTACACAACCCATTGTTGTGCCGATTAGTTGGCTCACAAACATGGAGCGTGGTGAAGCCAGTGTAAGGTAGCCAGTCTTAAAATCCTGCATCAGGTCTGAGGCTGTGGAAACAATGTTCATCATCACTCCACAGGCGGCTAGACCGGCAAGAACTCCACCTTGTGTGGCACCGGCCCATGCTCCAATCGTGAAGATGGCCAGCTTTCCATAAGTGGATGCAAGGGACCAATCAGTTAGTCCACAACCATAAGCATTGCAAAATGCCAAGGTGGGAGCAACCAGATAGATAACAATTATGTAGTACCATTTTAGTTGGTGGAAGATGTGTGGCAGAGTGGCTGTTGAGATGGCAGCAATAGCAACATAACCTGCAACTGCAAACCATGTGGGAATTTGATCTTTAAGGAAAAGTTGGGCGCGGCGCCGATCATCATAAGATAGCTCTGGACTTGAGGGGGAGTCTTGATCAGCAACTGGAAGAACATTCTCCCGTTTTCTCTCTTGGATTTGATGATACAACCCCCAGAGGGTATGAGTTATCACCTTTACGAAGTTATATAAACCATCTCCTAGGATCAAGGCAATAGCTATAAATACCTGAATTCAAGGTACAAGGTAAATCAACTTAACTGATAGACATTGGAAAGAATGTAAGGAATTGTGGTACTTTATATCAATGAACTTACCCTATAACCTTGGATGCCATGAAGATTTGATTCACCAAGGCCTTTTTCATACCAATGACCCTCGTTGGTTTTTATGAGAGGCCACATTATTCCCCAAGAAAGAATTCCCCCAAGAAGCACTGATATGTTTATGATATAAGGGCAAATCATTCCAACTCCAACATATATTGCAGAAAAATCAAAATAAAACCTACAAATAAGTTGAGATGTGATTAGCCATTCTGGATTAGTACAAAATTTGAAGTATCTTGCTTTTATAGAATGAAGATCTGAGAACATACCTGTTTTCATATGCTTTAAGCCCCAATGAAGGGAAGGCTTGAAATCCACACTGGTCAGTAGCTGTATAAAACCATTGAAAAAAGCCCCACAAAAAACTCATACTGAAGAATTTTCCCAACATTTTTACTTGCTTCCTGGAAGAGTACAAAAGAAACAGTAAATTAGTTTGAATGTATAACATCCTATGCAGTCACTTCTAGTAAGATTGAGTCAAAGATAGTGCCTACTTTGCAAGTTTGGCTCCTTGAGGAGTGTGGAAGCTGTTGATGAGATGTGCAGTTGCAGTACCACTTGGATATGTCAATTTGAAGTCAATGATCATAATCTAACACATATAACAGAAGCATAACTTAGCCATAACTTGATTGCAAACGCAATAAAGTGATAAGGATTGAAAAAATGAAACCGAGCAGGTTTTCTAAATTAAGTTTGTATGGACAGCCTTCTCAATAAATAACTAAAGATGAAAATAAGAATGTAAAATGAAATTATAAAAGTTTACTCATTTATATCTCTAAAAGCTAATTTTAATTTATGGCAGAAGCTAATGAATTCATTACACTTTCTTATTCTCTTTTTCTTATGAGTAGAACTCATTGAGAAATTTATCTAAGCATACCCTTAATATATTCATTGTCAAATTTTTATTAGGAATAAAATGGAACATTAATGAACAATGCAATTAATATTTCAAGAATGTGTCAGTGGCTTACCTTTCGGAGAGGTACAACAGAGAAAAGGCCGAGAAAGCTAACAACAAAAAGAAAAGCTATAATCCACCCTAAACTTGGGTCCTTAAAATCACTTGTATCAGTGGATTGATTAGCTATTTCTTCACTCATTCCAAAGAGGTAACTTCCAAATCCTCCTATTCATACAAATCAATCACAGAATGAAAACTTTCATTTAACTGAGCTAAGCATGAAATCTATGAAAAAGAAGAATTCCTAGATTACAAAAAATTAGTTCTATGTAGATAAATTTCTTCATAAACATTTATAAAAGAAGTTAAGAAAGGGAAGGAAATAAACTTCTCACACAAGGTTTTGTTTTAACTTCTCCAAAAAAGAAGTTTATTTTATTTATTCTCCTGCAATAAGTACTTTTGAAGAAATTTAGCTTAATGGGACCTAAGATTCCTTTCACATGTATAACATCAACATCTCACTCTAGAGTTTGGGTATGTTCTGAAGTCCAATTTTCCAGAAACCTAACACAACATTTAAACCAGATTTGACAGTTTGCAATGCTTCATTTCAAAATATGATGCAATACATTTAATGATACAAGATTGAAAATTTATTTTTTAAAGAATGATGGAAGATGAGAAAAAGTGACTGAGAATTTCTGCTTATGTTCGGTTGAAAATGGTAGAAGGATACACTTATTCAATCAAATAAACTAGGTTTCCAAATTTATTGTCATAAGTTGAAATTCAAAACAAAGAAAAAGTATCTTTCAAAGCATGGACAAATTTGATGCCTTTGTCGGTCATCCATGGCTTTTCCACAGTTAGCATATTCTAGAAGGTCATGTCTGACAGTGAAAAGTAGTAACCTTTGATAACAAAAGACTGTGACTGGGGGAGGGAGCACTAATGATATCATTCTGGAAAAAAAGTTCCTTCAGATTTATTAAAACAGTGGAACAGATAGAATTGACTCTAAAGTTTGGAAATCTTAAAAAAAAAGAACACAGTTGATTCTATACTGATTCAATTAGCCACTGAAGTGATTACTACTTAGATTTTCTCCTTTGAAAATTTATCTGGAAATGATTTAGCACTGAGAAAGTAATTCCGTTTTTTTCTCAGAGGAATTAGATTACAGACTAGGTCAACATGAGAAATTAACCAAGGTCTTGTTCAAATCCAAATCCCCACAAAAATTAACACACTGTTGAATCTAAAAAGGCACCAAAAATCCAACTGTTTGATAAATTTATAGTTAATTTCCCAAAAAAAAAACCCTTTCACCCCATGGAACAAAAAGGGTCAAAATCAAAACTCACAACAATTAACCATTTAAAAAACAATAGACATCAACACCATGACAACAGTAAACAAATCCAGAAAAGTCAGAGTGAAAAGAAGAAGGTACCGCTAAAGGCTATGCCAGAAGAAGCCACAACACAGGTTTGGATGACAGTGTTCTCTTGCCTTGTGAAGGGTTGTCTCAACATGCCAGATTTTTCCAAGAACTTGGTCCAAGTCTTCACAAAGAAGAACCCCAGAAGGCCAGCAGAGACATTGAGAGAAGGAATAATACCAGTGGTGAGGTTGAGCTTCATCACAATGAAACTGAACAATATGCTTAGTACAAAGCTGACCGCAAAGGCTCTCCGAGTCAATTGGTTCCTCCATGATGGCACCAGAAGATGCTGGAACACCCTCTCCACAGAAACTTCTTCCTCTTTGAGTTTGATGCTACCCTTTTGGCTCAGTCCGCGATCAAGCTCATCTACATGCTCAACTGACTCAAAACCATTCTCCACCACTCTATCCCCACTTCCATTTTGAGCCATGATTTGTGGATTTTCCTTGGAAAGTGGTTCAAATCCCAAAACTTTTTTTCTGGGAGTTCGGAATCTCCAAGGATGGTGAAACTTCCTAGATTCCACTAGCCTCCCTTTGTCTTAGGTTAAAGTTTGTGTTTCACCTTTATTCAAAGGTTGAGTTGGAATGTGCATGGTGGTTTACTTACTGGCATTTATTGATGGACTCATAGACTTCAATATCAGCAGCTAGTGGATGACAGAGAGAGAGAGAGAGAGAGAGAGAGAGAAAGAGAGAGAGAGAGAGAGAGAGAGAGAGAGAGAGAGAGAGAGAGAGAGAATGTGAATGTGATAACTAAGAAGTTTGAAGACAAAAATTATGTAAAGCTACAACTTTGATAGATGTCTGTGGTAGATGGTGGAATAGACCAGCACACAACATCCTTAGATTTTTGAGACGTAAACACCTTCCATTTTTTATTTTCTTTTTATGTTTTTGTTTTCATAACTAGGACTTTCGTAATTCTCTGATATAACACAAAAATAATTTTTTTTTCTTGCATATTCTGTTTTTAAAGGTTTTTAATGAAAAAGGGTTTTTAATGAAAAATTTAAAATAACTCTAAAATAAATACATTTTACACATCCAAATCTAACTTAATAACACTAATTATATTTTCCTTTTTCTGATAATAGTTAGTACTGTTTATTTTTTATATTTTTATTTCAATTTCATAATTATTATTTTTCTAACATGCATATGAATTTCACTTATTTTCTACTTCTAGAATTATTCTGTCGGTAGTTAGTTTAGGATTGAATTAAGTGTATAGTAAAAAACGTGATATTTAACAAATAAAAAAAAAGTAAGAAACTATTTGATACTTTTGGATAATTGGGAAGCATTAATCATGAATTGTTAAAATAAAAACTAATATTTAATCACTCTTCATAAGAAAAATAAGTTTTTTCTTTCTTTTTTTAATTTTGACCAGTAGAAAATTCGTTAACATTTTCGGAGATATATTCTTTTAGTTAAAAGATTGCTTAAATTAACTTACTTTCAAGTTTTAAATTTATATCATGAATAATTAAATTAATATATAGATAGAGATTTATATCAAAAGAATATTTTTGGGAAAAGGAAAATAGAGAGTCAAAGCTTAAGTTTGAAAAAGTCGTTTATAAGCTTTAAAACTAAACTTGAAGAATCGGTTTAACAAATGTTAACGTTTATTCACACAAACTTTATTGTCATTAAATGGTTTTTCAGATACAAAAGTAACGAATAAAATCCTCAGTAGAAAGAAAAAGAAGTGGTCCTTAAAGAATCCTAATCACTCGTTTAAGGGTTATATATGTTTTTATATTTCAAACTTTGTAGCTTTTTATCTGTATCCTCAATCAAAATCATAATTTTTGGTCTTTCAAAATAAATAACGTTAAAATTCAGATGAGATGGCTAAAGTTGATCACGCTGGAAACTTTGAAATTATCTCTCTATAACATTTAATATTTTTTAATGCAAAGTCAATGGAAAGCCAAAATAACGTTTGGTCCAAAGCTTTTCTGTCCCTGGCTGTTCCTCAATCTCAGTTGGTTCGAGAGCCAAAATGTCTGATGTATTGTTACCCTAGGCATAACTTAGAAAGTTTTACACTACCATCCACCCATCACTAGTTAAAGATGGATCCTTTGAGTTATATCAGACTTTATTCTTTTGATCATAACTTTCATAATTGTATGAATAACAATTTGATTTTTAGAATAGATGTGATTCTAAAATGCACCAAAGCAGATTTTAGCATTGCTTGATTCACAAAAAAATGCATACTTTGACTGCTTTTAACCAATTAGATTATGCATTAATTTAAGTTGGATCATGCAAAATCCTGTTAGGAATCCATGTTAGAAAACATAAGAAAGATGACATTTCTTGTTAACTCCCAAGAAAACATACGAAATCACCTTCTGTTCCTCCATTTTCTGCAGCAAATCTTCATCCTCTTCCACCTTTTTAGCTTCAATGTTTCTTGAGACTCTATTTTTGACACCCATCCTTCACTTTCTTGACCTCAACAATGGTGTGTTCAATTCTCCATTGGCACAAACCTTAGGCTTCCAGCTATTGTGGTTGCTTTTTGTCTGTAATTTCCTGTAATCGTACATTAAAACCTTGGTAGATGTCAAAATTGAGTCATACTTGCTTGATGCTTGGAAGAAAAGGAAACAAAATTCTGGTGGCTTCCCCGGCGGTAACAATCGTCACCGGTGACAACCTGAGTGAGTGGAGGTGTGTTGGCGTGTGTGTCCACTGACTTTGCATATTAAAAAATATTAAATGTTGTAGAGAGAGAGAGTTTCAAATTTCTAGCGCGTGACCAAACATTAGCCATCTCATCTGGATTTTTAACGCCGTTTATTTTGGAGGATCAAAAGTTATGGTTTCCTTAAGGAGAGGGATCAAAACGTACAAAGTTTGAAATAGGGACGAAAAAAAAAATCGCTTGATAGTTGAGGGACTAAAAACATATTTAACCCCTCATTTAATAAGAAAATTATGAATACTTTTTTAGATACCATTCTCCATTAATATTATTTTAAAAAAAAAATTTCTAGAGACAATGCATGATCATGATTTGTGTCAACCAATGTTAGTCTAAAAGTTTTTAGTTCTTTTCACAAATATTGTCTTGTATATTTTTTTGTATTAAAGTATCATTAGTTATTTTATAAAAATTCAAGAAGAGGAGAGTTTAATTTAAATTGTCAAGATTTCAATATTTCTTTAACTCTACATATTTAGATTGGATTTAACTTATGATTATAATTTCAAAAAATAGTTCTTTTTCAATTTTTGTATAATTCTAAAGAATAAAATCAATTCATTACAAATTTTCTAATAACCTAATTAGTAATGTATATTACAATATCTTAACTTTATTTTTAATAATTTCACATAAAAAATCTATAAATAGTTAAACAGAATATTTTTATGACGTAATGAAATACTCATAAAAACTTTACATTTTCTATAACGTAATGAAATATTTTTAAATTTACAAAATATATATAAAATCGTGAAAACATTAAAATAAATCTTAATCTCACATACTTTAACAATTAAACTCGTGTCAGTGGGATGATACAGGATTTTTTACTGATAGAAAAAAATCTTTAGGATGCATATAACTTTTTTTTGGTTATATTTTTGTCATCTGTATATTATATATCTATATATTATATAGTATGAAGAATGAATGTGGAAAATAATAGTGAGTTGATCAACATTTGGGTGAATGAATGTGTAGAATAATTGGTAGTATTTTGGTGTTTGTTATTTTTCCATGGCTGTTCCACCAAATGGATATACATTTTCTAAAAATGGTGTCAGAACGTAACCCTATATCTTCATTCATTGCCACACGTTTAAAGCTAATCAAATTTGTCTCTTATAGACTACTTCATATGCATCACATTCCTACATTGTTGTATTATGCTAAATGATCTAAAACGAAATTAAATATTAGTCTATGAAAATTTAGATAAACTATTTCAAAAACTGGTTTTACAAGATTAAAAATATACAAGTTTAAATTATTATGAATAGTTCATATTGAATATAATGTTTTAGGGTTAAGCTAGCTTGATAAACTTTATAGAGGAAGAATTGTTTTGATGGGGAGAACCTAAAACCACACATATGATTGATTAATCCAATAACTAAAAGTTGTGACGCATGATGAATTTTATTCGATAATTCGTGTAAGTATATTGAATTATATTTTATTTATAATCCGGTCAAATCCGATTTAACCCAGGTTAATATAGATGATTTGATATTCATTTTAAGATTATTTTTATATTTGTATTATGGATAAATTATATTATGTTTTTTTTTGTTTAAATTAATTTGTAGAAATTAATTATAACTTATTAATTGATAAGATGATCTTCAATTTTTTAGAAAACCTTTTATCTTAAATCTTAATTTTTCTTAATATTTTTATTTTCTTCCCGAATTTTTAATACATTCATGTTCTTTTTGAAAATCCAACACTAATTAATGGAGTGATTGATACGAAATATACTTAACTTTTTTAGATAATTTAACTTTCTGTCATTTTTCAATGAAGTAATATATTTATTTCTCATGCAACTCTTATGGCATGTGATTTTTCTTTCTTTTTGTTGAAATATTCTTTACTGAAGATGTTAAAATTGTGTCTTGATCGTTAATCAGACCTTTGATTGTATAGATAAAATGAATTTTCATGTGTGAAACTATCTAAGAGAGGAAGGAAAACCAATTTAATTAAAGATTTAAGGTCTTATTGTTGAGTTAAAAAATATATGGTATGAATGTTGTCCTTATATGCTTACTGAAATTTGGAAATAATCTTTATGAGAGGGGTGATTTAATTTGAACTGTGAAATTATGAAATTGTGGTGAATGTGAAAAAAAATTGATGATAAGTGTGATTGGTAATGTATTAATATGAAATTTCATAAATATGTATCGAAGAGTTATTATATAAGATGGAAAAGGAATGAGTGATGTTATTATGGTAAAGATATTGTTTAGATTTATAGGATTGGATGTTTTTGGTGTAGAATAATAATTTTCCTTACAAGCCTTGAAAGTAATTGAACATAGAAATTAAAAACCCGTGAATTTGGATTAGCTGCAAGAGTTATGAATATATTTGTATTACAATAAAATAGTATTGAATGTGGCATCATATTTGTATTATGAGATTCATGGTATGCGTATATGATTGTTATAAAGTGTGAATTAGAAGTGACTTATAGTGTTGCTAAATGGTTTTATTGTATGCTATTTAAGATAATTATGTTTGTATGTATTTATGTTTGTTAGTTTATGTGTATATGTAAAGTTTTTAGTATGTGTGGTAGTCAAAATAGTATTTTCAAGGAAAATGCTAATTTAGGTTGAGTCCAACTTTAGGAGGTAAAATTATTCGGACTCAACTAGTATTTTCACTAATATAGAGTTAAATATCTAGGTGATTTGGTGATGTAAGTTGAAATAGACTTCAAATGACATATGGTATGATATGAAAGAGGATCATACTTAGGGAGCTAGTTAGGTTAACTCTGTCATAACTTAGTTGGGAACAATAGTCCCGAGTGTTGGAACACCAAGAGAGAATTTGGAAGCATGACAAGTGCAGAATTTCATAACTCCATTCAATACACTAGTTTTCCAGCAGAGTCTAGATTTTGGTTACTGTTTGGGCTGATAGTTGTTTAATTCATTGGAATGAGATATCTGGGGTTGATACTTGGTATTTGAT